TGGCACATGGCAGAGTGTGGCGATGGAGACAGCAGCAATGGGAGGCCGTACAGGGACCCATGCAGACACTTGGCCTGGCAGCAGCATGAGGAGGCGGTACAGGGGCCCATGGCAGATTACGGGCCTGGCAGCAGCAATGGGAGGCCCGTAATCTGCCAGCACCTATGACAAAATGGAACCCACCAGCAGTGTGAGGAGACCTGAAAGTGGCACATGGCAGAGTGTGGCGATGGAGACAGCAGCAATGGGAGGCCGTACAGGGACCCATGAGACACTCTGGACCTGGCAGCAGCAGCATGAGGAGGGCGGTACGGGGGCCCATGGCAGATTACGGGCCTGGCAGCAGCAATGGGAGGCCCGTAATCTGCCAGCACCCTATGACAAAATGGAACACACCAGCAGTGTGAGGAGACCTGAAAGTGGCACATGGCAGAGTGTGGCGATGGAGACAGCAGCAATGGGAGGCCGTACAGGGACCCATGAGAGTACTCTGGACCTGGCAGCAGCATGAGGAGGCGGTACGGGGGCCCATGGCAGATTACGGGCCTGGCAGCAGCAATGGGAGGCCCGTAATCTGCCAGCACCCTATGACAAAATGGAACCACCAGCAGTGTGTGAGGAGACCTGAAAGTGGCACATGGCAGAGTGTGGCGATGGAGACAGCAGCAATGGGAGGCCGTACAGGGACCCATGAGAGACACTCTGGACCTGGCAGCAGCATGAGGAGGCGGTACGGGGGCCCATGGCAGATTACGGGCCTGGCAGCAGCAATGGGAGGCCCGTAATCTGCCAGCACCCTATGACAAAATGGAACCCACCAGCAGTGTGAGGAGACCTGAAAGTGGCACATGGCAGAGTGTGGCGATGGAGACAGCAGCAATGGGAGGCCGTACAGGGACCCATGAGAGACTCTGGACCTGGCAGCAGCATGAGGAGGCGGTACGGGGGCCCATGGCAGATTACGGGCCTGGCAGCAGCAATGGGAGGCCCGTAATCTGCCAGCACCCTATGACAAAATGGAACACACCAGCAGTGTGAGGAGACCTGAAAGTGGCACATGGCAGAGTGTGGCGATGGAGACAGCAGCAATGGGAGGCCGTACAGGGACCCATGAGAGACTCTGGACCTGGCAGCAGCATGAGGAGGCGGTACAGGGGCCCATGGCAGATTACGGGCCTGGCAGCAGCAATGGGAGGCCCGTAATCTGCCAGCACCCTATGACAAAATGGAACACACCCAGCAGTGTGAGGAGACCTGAAAGTGGCACATGGCAGAGTGTGGCGATGGAGACAGCAGCAATGGGAGGCCGTACAGGGACCCATGAGAGACTCTGGACCTGGCAGCAGCATGAGGAGGCGGTACGGGGGCCCATGGCAGATTACGGGCCTGGCAGCAGCAATGGGAGGCCGTAATCTGCCAGCACCCTATGACAAAATGGAACCCACCAGCAGTGTGAGGAGACCTGAAAGTGGCACATGGCAGAGTGTGGCGATGGAGACAGCAGCAATGGGAGGCCGTACAGGGACCCATGAGAGACTCTGGACCTGGCAGCAGCATGATGAGGAGGCGGTACGGGGGCCCATGGCAGATTACGGGCCTGGCAGCAGCAATGGGAGGCCCGTAATCTGCCAGCACCCTATGACAAAATGGAACACACCAGCAGTGTGAGGAGACCTGAAAGTGGCACATGGCAGAGTGTGGCGATGGAGACAGCAGCAATGGGAGGCCGTACAGGGACCCATGAGAGACTCTGGACCTGGCAGCAGCATGAGGAGGCGGTAGGGGGGGGGCCCATGGCAGATTACGGGCCTGGCAGCAGCAATGGGAGGCCCGTAATCTGCCAGCACCCTATGACAAAATGGAACACACCAGCAGTGTGAGGAGACCTGAAAGTGGCACATGGCAGAGTGTGGCGATGGAGACAGCAGCAATGGGAGGCCGTACAGGGACCCATGAGAGACTCTGGACCTGGCAGCAGCATGAGGAGGCGGTACGGGGGCCCATGGCAGATTACGGGCCTGGCAGCAGCAATGGGAGGCCCGTAATCTGCCAGCACCCTATGACAAAATGGAAACACCAGCAGTGTGAGGAGACCTGAAAGTGGCACATGGCAGAGTGTGGCGATGGAGACAGCAGCAATGGGAGGCCGTACAGGGACCCATGAGAGACTCTGGACCTGGCAGCAGCATGAGGAGGCGGTACAGGGGCCCATGGCAGATTACGGGCCTGGCAGCAGCAATGGGAGGCCCGTAATCTGCCAGCACCCTATGACAAAATGGAACACACCAGCAGTGTGAGGAGACCTGAAAGTGGCACATGGCAGAGTGTGTGCGATGGAGACAGCAGCAATGGGAGGCCGTACAGGGACCCATGAGAGACTCTGGACCTGGCAGCAGCATGAGGAGGCGGTACGGGGGCCCATGGCAGATTACGGGCCTGGCAGCAGCAATGGGAGGCCCGTAATCTGCCAGCACCCTATGACAAAATGGAACCCACCAGCAGTGTGAGGAGACCTGAAAGTGGCACATGGCAGAGTGTGGCGATGGAGACAGCAGCAATGGGAGGCCGTACAGGGACCCATGAGAGACTCTGGACCTGGCAGCAGCATGAGGAGGCGGTACAGGGGCCCATGGCAGATTACGGGGCCTGGCAGCAGCAATGGGAGGCCCGTAATCTGCCAGCACCCTATGACAAAATGGAACCACCAGCAGTGTGAGGAGACCTGAAAGTGGCACATGGCAGAGTGTGGCGATGGAGACAGCAGCAATGGGAGGCCGTACAGGGACCCATGAGAGGACTCTGGACCTGGCAGCAGCATGAGGAGGCGGTACGGGGGGCCCATGGCAGATTACGGGCCTGGCAGCAGCAATGGGAGGCCCGTAATCTGCCAGCACCCTATGACAAAATGGAACCCACCAGCAGTGTGAGGAGACCTGAAAGTGGCACATGGCAGAGTGTGGCGATGGAGACAGCAGCAATGGGAGGCCGTACAGGGACCCATGAGAGACTCTGGACCTGGCAGCAGCATGAGGAGGCGGTACGGGGGCCCATGGCAGATTACGGGGCCTGGCAGCAGCAATGGGAGGCCCGTAATCTGCCAGCACCCTATGACAAAATGGAACCCACCAGCAGTGTGAGGAGACCTGAAAGTGGCACATGGCAGAGTGTGGCGATGGAGACAGCAGCAATGGGAGGCCGTACAGGGACCCATGAGAGACTCTGGACCTGGCAGCAGCATGAGGAGGCGGTACGGGGGCCCATGGCAGATTACGGGCCTGGCAGCAGCAATGGGAGGCCCGTAATCTGCCAGCACCCTATGACAAAATGGAACCCACCAGCAGTGTGAGGAGACCTGAAAGTGGCACATGGCAGAGTGTGGCGATGGAGACAGCAGCAATGGGAGGCCGTACAGGGACCCATGAGAGACTCTGGACCTGGCAGCAGCATGAGGAGGCTGTACGGGGGCCCATGGCAGATTACGGGCCTGGCAGCAGCAATGGGAGGCCCGTAATCTGCCAGCACCCTATGACAAAATGGAACCACCAGCAGTGTGAGGAGACCTGAAAGTGGCACATGGCAGAGTGTGGCGATGGAGACAGCAGCAATGGGAGGCCGTACAGGGACCCATGAGAGACTCTGGACCTGGCAGCAGCATGAGGAGGCGGTACGGGGGCCCATGGCAGATTACGGGCCTGGCAGCAGCAATGGAGGCCCGTAATCTGCCAGCACCCTATGACAAAAATGGAACACACCAGCAGTGTGAGGAGACCTGAAAGTGGCACATGGCAGAGTTGGGCGATGGAGACAGCAGCAATGGGAGGCCGTACAGGGACCCATGTGAGACTCTGGACCTGGCAGCAGCATGAGGAGGCGGTACAGGGGCCCATGGCAGATTACGGGCCTGGCAGCAGCAATGGGAGGCCCGTAATCTGCCAGCACCCTATGACAAAATGGAACCCACCAGCAGTGTGAGGAGACCTGAAAGTGGCACATGGCAGAGTGTGGCGATGGAGACAGCAGCAATGGGAGGCCGTACAGGGACCCATGAGAGGACTCTGGACCTGGCAGCAGCATGAGGAGGCGGTACGGGGGCCCATGGCAGATTACGGGCCTGGCAGCAGCAATGGGAGGCCGTAATCTGCCAGCACCCTATGACAAAATGGAACCACCAGCAGTGTGAGGAGACCTGAAAGTGGCACATGGCAGAGTGTGGCGATGGAGACAGCAGCAATGGGAGGCCGTACAGGGACCCATGAGAGACTCTGGACCTGGCAGCAGCATGAGGAGGCGGTACGGGGGCCCATGGCAGATTACGGGCCTGGCAGCAGCAATGGGAGGCCCGTAATCTGCCAGCACCCTATGACAAAATGGAACACACCAGCAGTGTGAGGAGACCTGAAAGTGGCACATGGCAGAGTGTGGCGATGGAGACAGCAGCAATGGGAGGCCGTACAGGGACCCATGAGAGACTCTGGACCTGGCAGCAGCATGAGGAGGCGGTACGGGGGCCCATGGCAGATTACGGGCCTGGCAGCAGCAATGGGAGGCCCGTAATCTGCCAGCACCCTATGACAAAAATGGAACACACCAGCAGTGTGAGGAGACCTGAAAGTGGCACATGGCAGAGAGTGTGGCGATGGAGACAGCAGCAATGGGAGGCCGTACAGGGACCCATGAGAGACTCTGGACCTGGCAGCAGCATGAAGAGGCGGTACAGGGGCCCATGGCAGATTACGGGCCTGGCAGCAGCAATGGGAGGCCCGTAATCTGCCAGCACCCTATGACAAAAATGGAAACCCACCAGCAGTGTGAGGAGACCTGAAAGTGGCACATGGCAGAGTGTGGCGATGGAGACAGCAGCAATGGGAGGCCGTACAGGGACCCATGAGAGACTCTGGACCTGGCAGCAGCATGAGGAGGCGGTACGGGGGCCCATGGCAGATTACCGCGGGCCCTGGATTACGGGCCTGGCAGCAGCAATGGGAGGCCGTAATCTGCCAGCACCCTATGACAAAATGGAAACCCACCAGCAGTGTGAGGAGACCTGAAAGTGGCACATGGCAGAGTGTGGCGATGGAGACAGCAGCAATGGGAGGCGTACAGGGACCCATGAGAGACTCTGGACCTGCAGCAGCATGAGGAGGCGGTACAGGGGCCCATGGCAGATTACAGGGGCCTGGCAGCAGCAATGGGAGGCCCGTAATCTGCCAGCACCCTATGACAAAATGGAACACACCAGCAGTGTGAGGAGACCTGAAAGTGGCACATGGCAGAGTGTGGCGATGGAGACAGCAGCAATGGGAGGCCGTACAGGGACCCATGAGAGACTCTGGACCTGGCAGCAGCATGAGGAGGCGGTACGGGGGCCCATGGCAGATTACGGGCCTGGCAGCAGCAATGGGAGGCCCGTAATCTGCCAGCACCCTATGACAAAATGGAACCACCAGCAGTGTGTGAGGAGACCTGAAAAGTGGCACATGGCAGAGTGTGGCGATGGAGACAGCAGCAATGGGAGGCCGTACAGGGACCCATGAGAGACTCTGGACCTGGCAGCAGCATGAGGAGAGGCGGTACAGGGGGCCATGGCAGATTACGGGCCTGGCAGCAGCAATGGGAGGCCCGTAATCTGCCAGCACCCTATGACAAAATGGAACCCACCAGCAGTGTGAGGAGACCTGAAAGTGGCACATGGCAGAGTGTGGCGATGGAGACAGCAGCAATGGGAGGCCGTACAGGGACCCATGAGAGACTCTTGGACCTGGCAGCAGCATGAGGAGGCGGTACAGGGGCCCATGGCAGATTACGGGCCTGGCAGCAGCAATGGGAGGCCCGTAATCTGCCAGCACCCTATGACAAAATGGAACCCACCAGCAGTGTGAGGAGACCTGAAAGTGGCACATGGCAGAGTGTGGCGATGGAGACAGCAGCAATGGGAGGCCGTACAGGGACCCATGAGAGACTCTGGACCTGGCAGCAGCATGAGGAGGCGGTACGGGGGCCCATGGCAGATTACGGGCCTGGCAGCAGCAATGGGAGGCCCGTAATCTGCCAGCACCCTATGACAAAATGGAACCCACCAGCAGTGTGAGGAGACTGAAAGTGGCATGGCAGAGTGTGGCGATGGAGACAGCAGCAATGGGAGGCCGTACAGGGACCCATGAGAGACTCTGGACCTGGCAGCAGCATGAGGAGGCTGTACGGGGGCCCATGGCAGATTAGGGGCCTGGCAGCAGCAATGGGAGGCCCCGTAATCTGCCAGCACCCTATGACAAAATGGAACACACCAGCAGTGTGAGGAGACCTGAAAGTGGCACATGGCAGAGTGTGGCGATGGAGACAGCAGCATTGGGAGACCGTACAGGGACCCATGAGAGAATCTGGACCTGGGCAGCAGCATGAGGAGGCGGTACGGGGGGCCCATGGCAGATTTGGGGCCTGGCAGCAGCAATGGTGAGGCCCGTAATCTGCCCAGCACCCTATGACAAAATGGAACCCACCAGCAGTGTGAGGAAACCTGAAAGTGGCACATGGCAGAGTGTGGCGATGGAGACAGCAGCAATGGGAGGCCGTACAGGGACCCATGACACACTCTGGACCTGGCAGCAGCATAAGAGGGAGGTGGTACAGGGGTCCCATGGCAGAGTGGCGAAGCGTAAGCAGCTTAAAGAGGGGCGATTGACGTCGGGTGACGGAGCAGGTAACGGAGCGGGTGATGGAGCGGGGGTTGGAGCAGGCAGAACCGCCGTATCATTATCACGGTTTTCCCAGGCCACCGAATGGCGACGCTGCATATGCTGACGCAACGCTGTAGTCCCAACATGGGCCCCCTGGCCACGCTTGACTTTCTGGCCACATAGTCGACATACGGCTACGTTTACTTCCTCGGGCGGCTTGACAAAAAATTGCCACACCGCCGAGTAGGAAACTTTGCCCCTGTACTCCTCACTGGCTGACTGCTACTTCCTCCGTGCACACCGGCACCACTACTGGCCGTGGTGGTAGGCTGCAGTGGAGCTGGTGCTCTACTCCGTGGCCGTTTGCCTCCACTGACACTGCTGCGACCCTGCTGCCTCCTGGGCAACCCACCGAATGTTTTGCTCGCTGCCAAGCTGCACCTCTTCTCCTGATGATGCGGAAGCAATAGCCTGATGTGACGACGAGGCTGCCAAGCGCGATCAGCCTCATCATCATCAATTAGGGTCTCCGCCTCACTTCTAGCCCCCTCGGCTGCGTGTGGGTCAGGAGACAGACCTGTCTCTAGACCGGCTACCGAGCCACTCTCTCGCCAGTACTTCTTCGCCTGGCTGCTGAAGAGGCGGATTTCTCCCCCCGTTCCTGACCGCCCTCTGTTAGCTCTTCCTCACTGTACAGTGGGGCTGAGCCCACAGCATGCGATACTTCGCTTGGTGAGGGAACACCAAAGGACAGGGGCAGGTAGAGGACACGTGATTTCAGTGGGCTTGCTCCCGGGCCATGCCAACTAACGGTTGTGTCTGACGTACCCACCGACCGTTGGCTGTAGGTGTCAGAGGTGACCTGGGAAGAGGAAGACGACCGAGCCAACCAATCGATGACGGCAGGGTTGTCGGTGGAGACACGACCGCTGGATGACACTGGGAGCACTGGCCTCTGGCTGCGACTAGTGCTGCCTCGACCCCTTCCTCTGCTGCCACGTCTGCTCGCTCCTAAAACATTGCCTCCTCTGCCACTCCTCTGCGTGTTGTCTGACATTCTCTTTAATTCAACGATTCTGTGTCCCTGAGTAACAATTCTGTGTCCGTCAGTAACAATTCTGTGTCTGTCCCTGAGTAACAATTCTGTGTCCCTGAGTAACAATTCTGTGTCCCTGGTAACAATTCTGTGTCCCTCAGTAACAATTCTGTGTCCCTCAGTAACAATTCTGTGTCCCTGAGTAACAATTCTGTGTCCCTCAGTAACAATTCTGTGTCCCTCAGTAACAATTCTGTTCCCTCTGTGTCTGTCCCTGAGTAACAATTCTTTGTCCCTCAGTAACAATTCTGTGTCCCTCAGTAACAATTCTGTGTCCCTCAGTAACAATTCTGTGTCCCTCAGTAACAATTATGTGTCTGTCCCTGAGTAACAATTCTGTGTCCCTCAGTAACAATTCTGTGTCCCTGAGTAACAATTCTGTGTCCCTCAGTAACAATTCTGTGTCTGTCCCTGAGTAACAATTCTGTGTCCCTGAGTAACAATTCTGTGTCCCTCAGTAACAATTCTGTGTCCCTCAGTAACAATTCTGTCTGTCCCTGAATAACAATTCTGTGTCCCTGAGTAACAATTCTGTGTCCCTGAGTAACAATTCTGTGTCCCTCAGTAACAATTCTGTGTCTGTCCCTGAGTAACAATTCTGTGCCCCTGAGTAACAATTCTGTGTCCCTGAGTAACAATTCTGTGTCCCTCAGTAACAATTCTGTGTCCCTCAGTAACAATTCTGTGTCTGTCCCTGAGTAACAATTCTGTGTCCCTCAGTAACAATTCTGTGTCCCTGAGTAACAATTCTGTGTCCCTGAGTAACAATTCTGTGTCCCTGAGTAACAATTCTGTGTCCCACAGTAACAATTCTGTGTCTGTCCCTGAGTAACAATTCTGTGTCCCTCAGTAACAATTCTTTGTCCCTCAGTAACAATTCTGTGTCTGTCCCTGAGTAACAATTCTGTGTCCCTGAGTAACAATTCTGTGTCCCTGAGTAACAATTCTGTGTCCCTCAGTAACAATTCTGTGTCCCTCAGTAACAATTCTGTGTCCCTCAGTAACAATTCTGTGTCTGTCCCTGAGTAACAATTCTGTGTCCCTGAGTAACAATTCTGTGTCCCTGAGTAACAATTCTGTGTCCCTGAGTAACAATTCTGTGTCCCTCAGTAACAATTCTGTGTCTGTCCCTGAGTAACAATTCTGTGTCTGTCCCTGAGTAACAATTCTGTGTCTGTCCCTGAGTAACAATTCTGTGTCCCCCAGTAACAATTCTGTGTCCTTCAGTAACAATTCTGTGTCCCTCAGTAACAATTCTGTGTCCCTCAGTAACAATTCTGTGTCTGTCCCTGAGTAACAATTCTGTGTCTGTCCCTGAGTAATAATTCTGTGTCCCTCAGTAACAATTCTGTGTCCCTCAGTAACAATTCTGTGTCCCTCAGTAACAATTCTGTGTCTGTCCCTGAGTAACAATTCTGTGTCTGTCCCTGAGTAACAATTCTGTGTCTGTCCCTGAGTAACAATTCTGTGTCCCTATGTAACGGTTCTGTGTCCCTAAGTAATGGTTCTGTGTCCCTAAAAGTAACGATTGTGTGTCCCTAAGTAACGGTTCTGTGTCCCTAAGTAACGGTTCTGTGTCCCTAAGTAACGGTTCTGTGTCCCTAAGTAACGATTCTGTGGCCCTAACTCTGTCCCTCAATACAGACAGGTCTGTCTCTCTTGAATGACTGGAGGCTAATGGAGAATTCTAAAATGGCCGCAATTTATAGCTCGACCATTACACAGTGCTGGCTGGCTGGCTGCTGATTGGCTAATGCGATCACATGTCATGAATGAATGCATTATGGGTCAGCGCGCCTTGTCTGCGCGCCTTCCCAGAGATCCCTGCTCCGTCGCCGCACATGTCGCCACCATTTTTGGAAAATTTTCCTAATATTCGAAACGAATTCCACTTCGCCAAGTTCGATTCACTCATCTCTAGTTTTAATCAATGAAAAACTCATAACTAAACTGCAAGGCATTGTGCCAAAATGTAGGCGAGTTTGGGACCCCTGGATTTCTCATTGTCTTTCATGAAGTTTCAATCTCTGCCTTCTTGAGCTTTAAACAACTGGGTGACAATAGTCCCGGTTTACGGGCTACCCATGGGTCGCCCCTGATCGCCACCAACCCCTGTCCCCTTTACCCCCCAACCCCCATGCCTGTCTTATCTCCCTTTTCTTTTCTCTTATCTTCCTTTCTCTCACTCCTGTTTCTTTACTATCTTGTGAGTGCCTGTATAGTGCCTCAGACTCATGTTTCTGTTATTATTATGAGCTGTCATCACTTCCAATTTTGTTGAGATCATTTATGTATGTTGTGATTCACATGGCTGACGAGCCTTTTTGCTGCTGTTATATTTGCCTCTTTGGACTTCTTTGTGATAAGTTTGTATGTTTTCAAGAGAACCTGTCTGAAATGTTACTTTTGTAATTTCTCACAAAATTAAATAAATATATTGAATCACTAAAAATATATATATTTACGCAATATGTTTTTGTTTATATAATGTGCATTAATGCACTATTTAACTGAGTTGTTTTATCAAAGTGGTTCTAAAGTCAAACTTTTTTTTTTTTTTTACTTTAATGTATTGCCTGCATTAAGGTAAAACACCTTTCACTAGTTATTTGTCCCCCCACCCAATTCTTATCTGGACCCTACATTGATCCAGTCCTGTGCCTGTCTGCAGCTGTGCTGGTCTGTCTCCCTGCTCTCACTGGACAGAGCCATTGACTCCTGCTGCTATCAACCAAAATACTGAGGAGGGATCAGGGGGCATGGCCAACCTGCGCTGTGTTTCTATAGATGCACACAGCCCAACTTGGGAGCGCAATCCGCACTTGTGTCCCCATAGTACACAGCTTGCTATGGGGACATACTCAGAGAAGGAATAACGGGCGCCGGTGGGGGACCTCAGAAGAGGAGGTAAGGAGCTGCTGTATGCATTATCCTTGCACAAAGCAAGTAAGTATAAACCTCTTTTTTCTTTTTGTGTAAAAAGAGACTTTAATATAACTTAAATATTGTTTTGCTATGTTGCATTTAAAGTGAGCATTCATATTGTATTGTTGTTTTACATAATATTATTGACATTAATTCAGTGCTATCAAGGATGGGGACAGACCAGTCCTGGCTTTAAGCCAGAGCCACTAGCTAGACATCCATGGATTTATTTACTACTTGCTTCTAGGCATTCATTGATTCCCACAATTTGCTACCTGGGCACCCATGAATTCCTTCACACTTCCCAC